GCAGGGCAGGACAGGGCAGGGCAGGACAACTCAGCTCCAATGTAATAAAAATGTGAAAATAATATATAACACATTTTCAAAGCGTTCGAACATGCCTATTGACTATTGACGACGAAATTAATCCATGTAATCGACACAGTTATAATTGTTTACTTTTTACAACATTATCAACAACACACACAATCCCGTAAAACCAGCAACCAACAACATTTTTTTAAACTATCCATTATCTTTGTTAATTCTGTGTGTGTCTTCATGTACAATTTGAAACATTCGTAAACATTGTTATCGTAGACGAAAAGCCTTGCAAAACAGTTGGTGATCTTGAAGATATTGCATACAGTAACGGAGAAACATTGATAGTTGGGAGGGGGGGGTATATTCATATATTCATATGTTATAATCAGTAAACACGATTAATATCAATAGACACTAATTAAGTAGTACATGCATATAAAATAACACACCCCCCCATTTATCAATGTTCTGTTTCCCTTGATTGCATACTATTACGAGAACAAAAGCAATTTTCCTAACCAATATAGGTGTTTAAGGCTGCTTTATAGTTCTCCATATAGTGAGTGTTGCTAAGAATGAAAGATCTTTTGGAACACCCCCTCCCATAAGTGTAACACCCAATAAACGGCGCTGGTTGTAGCAATAACATTTCTACACATCCACAATTTACAAAAAATCGTCAAGAAAAATACAGTTAAAGTCAGCTACAGCTGTAACGATATTTTATACGAGATTTAGACATAAAATATTAAAAAAACTATTTTAGTGTGAAAAGGATGGAAAGATGCACGTGACCCAACAATACGACGATTTTCGATCAGAATATTATAAGAGAGTATTTTTTCTTCGATTTTCCAAATTCTAAAAGTCAAACTTGTATTTAGAAAAATATTTATTCACAATCCGGGAAACCGTATATAGCAGTATATGCATTAAAATGACATAAAATGTGTCCATTGTTTTTATCCTGCATTTCACGACGGTGTAAATGTATGCTTCGCAAGAGTGAACGTTTTCTAAATAGATATAAAATGAGATATTTACACCGCTTTTTCTTTCCTAGTTGTTTCAATCATACAACATACAACTTACCACAGGCACACACAGAAGGTCGATCTTCTCTTTTTTCCTACTAAAAATAGGAAAACGAAGGATCATGAAATGTATCTTCGAAATATTCACCCCCTTCCCAATAATGGGTGTTTATAGCTGTTTTTACTTTATTTCAGTTTTTTCTGTACATCTCAAATGTATAAAGTTGTTCAATATTCACATTCTTTTGTATTGTCTGGCCATTTGATTGATCATCATAATGATCAACATTTGCTATCTGTAATGCCGTAGACAGTACTGCCAGCGACGTGCCCAGACAAAGTGATCTCATCTTTCCATCTCTGAGAAGTTATCTCATCTAACCATCTTTGAGAGGTTGACAGCATTGCCAAAATATCAAGGGTAACACATGGCAATTCATGGCCGTTGTAGGTTAAATACCTGGTCTCTCGAGAGCAACTTGTGAGCTATGTGCCGGCTGGACTTGTTCCTTAAACTGCTGGAGAACAGTGCGGTTAGACCAGGTGCTGTCTCTTCTGGTAGGTTAGTTGGTCCCAGGGTCTCTCTGCCATAACTCGCCATTGTGCTACCATCATCCTCCATCAATCTTGTTCCATTTTGGTAATTTACTGTCCCAAACTATCCTTGTCTAGTTCCGGGTGGAGCTTCGTTGATAGACTGCATTACATCTAGCAGTAACGGAATACTCCTGCATCTGAGGTCACCGCCAGTCGTCTCGACACTGTCTTGCCACTGGATCCATGTGATTTCAGAGAAGAGCGAGGTTGACGTCGGCCAGCTTTTCCTCACTATAATAAATTCCTGCATACGTCTTGACAACGCCACTTAACCTAGAAGTAAGCCTTAAGCTCTGTGGCGATGGGTGAGCGACGAAGCAGCAGGTTTGGATACACTAAGAGCTGTAGTTGCAGACCTGCACACAGGCGGCCCAGGTCTAATGGTCGCTTTCGATTGAAGCACCAGAGAACTCGGCGGCTACCTGTTTGTCTGAGCAGCCCTCTTTAGGGATGAACTGCTCACCTCACACGAGGAAGGGACTAGAAAAGGTGTGCTAAAAAAAGCCTGCTTCATCCTTCATCCTGGCCAGCAAGCCGCGGTTGGCGGAAATCCCACACCTGCAGTCGAAATAAAGGAAAGAAAAAAATTAAGGTGACACCGATCACCATAGGCACATGGAATGTGCGTACACTACTTGACAACCTTTCATCAGACAGACCAGAGAGGAGAACTGCCTTAGTTTCCAGAGAACTTGCAAGATATAACATCGACATTGCAGCACTGAGTGAGATTTGTTTCGCTAATGAGGGGCAGCTGACTGAATATGGAGGTGGCTACACTTTCTTCTGGAGTGGCCGTTCTGCCGATGAGCGCCGGGTTTCTGGGGTAGGTTTTGCAATCAGGAACCATCTTGTCCAAAAGCTTGCCAATCTCCCTAAAGGTACAAACGATCGTCTCGTGTCAATGCAGATTCATCTACATGATGGTAAACGGGCCACACTCATCAGTGCCTATGCACCTACAATGACAAAGCCTAAAGATGTGAAAGACAGATTCTACGAAGATCTGGATACTATACTTTCATCCGTGTGCAGTACTGATAAGTTGATCCTACTTGGGGGATGGAGCCATTTGAAAGAATGGGGTAGGCAAGGGCAACAGCAATGGCCTGCGCATGCTGGAGTTATGCTCATCGTATGGTCTCCTTATAACCGACACAATATTCCGGCTGCCCAACAGGAACAAAACATCATGGATGCACCCCCGGTCGAAACACTGGCATATCTCATCGATTACATCATTGTCAGGAAGAAGGACATGCAGGATGTCAGAATTACCAAGGCCATGTGTGGTGCAGAGTGCTGGACCGACCGCAGAATCATCATCTCTAAAATGAACCTCCGCATCAAAGCAAAGAGACGCCCACAGGGATGCGTGACCAAAAAGAGGATAAATGTTGCCAAGCTGAAAAAGCTCTCAACACCATATATGGACCTCGATCGTCAGGAAATTCCCTTCTCTTGAGCTCAGATGGGACTTCACTCATTATCGAGAAGGAAAAGATCTTGCATAGGTGGGCTGAACATTTTGAAGCTGGACTCAACCGTCCTTCTTCCATCAATGATGAGGCAATAGACAGGTTGCCCCAGGTCAACATCATTATGACCATGTATGTTCCACCTGTTGATTCAGAAGTCAGGGAGGCAATAAGCAAGCTCTCTAGCGGCAAAGCCCCTGGTACAGATGCTATTCTATCCGAGATATATGAAATTTGTGGTCCCACATTTATCCAGAAGCTCATCGACCTCTTCCAATCCTTCTGGGCTGAAGGATCCATCCCCCAGGAATTGAAAGATGCCTCAATTATTCACCTATACAAGAGGAAGGGTAATCGTCAGTCCTGTGATAATCAGCGAGGCATCTCACTCATACCAATAGCTGGGAAAGTTCTTACCCGAGTGCTACTAAACGGGCTAATAGACCACTTTGAAGAATCACAGTGCGGTTTTCGTAAGGACCGTGGAACTGTTGATATGATTTTCGCAGCGCTACAATTCCAGGAAAAGTGTCATGAGCAGAACAAAGATCCGTACACCACCTTTGTCGATTTGACAAAAGCTTTTGACACAGTCTCCCATTAGGGCCTGTGGAGAATTATGTCCAAGTTTGGCTGTCAAGAGAAATTCATCTTGATGGTTCGTCAATTCCACGATGGCATGATGGCCAGAGTACTAGTTGATGGTGAATACTCCGAACCCTTCCCAGTCACAAATGGTGTCAAACAGGGCTGCGTACTGGCTCCAACATTGTTCAACATGGTTTTCACTGCCATGCTAACTGATGCTTATCACGATGGTACAGATGGTATCAGCATCAAATAAAGAATGGATGGGAGCGTATTCAACCTACGTAGACTACAAGCTATCACCAAGGTTAAGGAGACCATCCTTCGTGACTTCCTGTTTGCTGTTGACTGCGCCCTCAACGCGTCTTCAGAATCGGAGTTGCAGATCAACATGAATAAGTTTTCCGCAGCCTGTGACAACTTTGGTCTAACCATCAGCACCAAGAAGACAGAGATTATGCATCAGCCTTCTCCTCATACACACTACACTGAGCCTACCATACTGGTGAATGGACAGCGTCTGCAGACAGTTGACAAATTCACATACCTAGGGAGCACTCTTTCCAGAGCTGTGACTATTGATGCAGAGGTGACAAACCGGATCGCCAAAGCCAGTTCCGCATTTGGCAGGTTGCGCACAAACGTTTGGGAGCGTAGAGGGATCACCACTGCAACGAAACTGAAGGTATACTCTGCCATAGTATCACCAACTCTCCTGTTTGCATGTGAATCCTAGACTGTTTATCAGAGGCATGCGAGACAGCTGAATCACTTCCACACAACCTGTCTCCGTCGGATATTGAGAATCAAGTGGCAAGACAAGGTGCCAGACATAGATGTCCTCCCTCGATCCAATTAGCCATCCATCTACACTTTGCTGATGAGAGCACAGATCCGATGGGCAGGCCACATTGCTCGCATGCCAGATGAGCGGATGCCTAAGCAACTGCTTTATGGTGAGCTCTTCAACGGCAAAAGATCAGTCGGAGGCCAGAAGAAGCGGTTCAAGGACACATTAAAGACATCACTGAAGTCCTTTAACATCAACACCGCAATATGGGACAAACTTGCAGGGAACCGATCAACCTGGCCCGATCTCATCTTCAAGGGCTGTCAAGCATCAGAAGAAAGGCGGACTGTGGAAGCCAAACAGAAACGTGAGCTGCGGAAATCAAGAGCAGCCAGTGCTTCAACATCAGATGCATCTCTGGTTTGCCCTTCGTGTTCGAGAACATTCCGTGCCAAGATTGGGCTCATTAGCCACCTTAGAACTCACTGTACCCAGTCTTCTAGTACTTGAGTTAACTTGTCAAGGTCATCATCGCTTGCGATGGACGAACAACAACATATTATATTAGGATACGCAAAATGAATGTGGGGCAATTTGCATGTAATTTTTTACATGTATTTTGGTTTTATAGTATTGTTTATATATAATGTGTGCTCAATAAATACTTTTGTATTGATTTCATTTATTTTATGGAACATATATATATATATATATATATATATATATTGGTCTTTTAAATGCCTTCCACGTAGTAAAGCGAAAATTTGGCTAGTTGTATTGACAATTTTTAAAAAATGATAGTCATCCTAATGCTTCAATTCAGTTTTGCTTTACTATTTTATTTATTATAATGAGAAAGACATTAATCTTTTAATCCTGTAATAAGTCATAAATTGCTGTTGAATTTTGGTTGAAAATTTACAAAAACAACTATATAGCTAATGCATGCATGATCATATGTTTGTAAGGCAGATGTTAAAGTCAATATAGAATTATAATAACTTCAGCAAATATGTAATTTTGTGTGTTATCCTTTACTCGAAACATTTTAACAGCAATATTCAAGCAGTTTTTTTCTGAATCTTCCTTTTCCAATTGGTCAGACAAAAGAAAATAACACGATACTCTGACTTTAGTTTAAGAGACAAAATAGTCCGTGAGTAAATTACAGCTGGTAAGAATTATCATAATCAACATTTTTAGTATTCTCTGCTTTTAATTAAAATGGTTGCCACGGCAAAAAATGAGACGCGTTGCAAACAAAAAAATAGTAGCTAACATTTTGGCTGCTTTGTAAACCAATGGGGATCAAATTATATGAACATGTGAAAAATAAGGTGTATGCGTTCATGAATAATTCATATTTTTTAGAAACAGCAGGTTTAACAAAGATCATATTACACTACAGCGAGTGCATCATGAAAGTTACGATTCTTTCGACGATTGGTATTATCGTCTATCTTCTTTTTTCGGAAGTCAATCTCGACAAGGTTTTCTACAAAAAAGAATTTTACAGAAAAATTGGCGAAGGTATGTATTTAAAATTGAGTCAGTTGTTAAGATTTTCTACTTTATAATTTTGCATGGATTTTTTTGCAAAGACACGGATTATGTTTTCTATATATAGCTACGCAATGAAGCCAAACTTGGTTAGGTTCAACTGGACAAAACATTATAGCTTTGCAACAAACTTGTCCTGTTTTTAATGGATATTTTAAATTTGACGTATTTTTGTAAAATAAATATTAAATGGAATATATTTTAAAAAGCCTATTAATGAATAGAAAGAAGGATACCAAATATTATAGAAGTTTCGTTGAAAAACTTAAACACAATATCTTTTTTGACAACTTCATGTCTTAACAGATTAATTTTTAAGTATGTGAATAAAGAAGTACATTTCTTCTGGATTTCACCCAAATGTTTTACCTTTTGGAGGAGGCTTCTTCCTTCAGCATACGCATTTCCGCCTTTGAGTCGTTAAAACAACAGAAAACAGCTTAAAAAAACATTTAATTATCTTAAGTATCAAAATAATTGCACAAGATACCGACTCTTTCATATTATGATAAAAGGAAACTCTAAAAAAAATATTTAAAACTAGATTTTATTCAAATCATCACTGTTCCTACAAAACAAAGTGTATGCTTGTTTTTCCTGTCCATGCACCCAAGCGCAATTTTCAGGTTATTTTCAAAATAGCATTTTCCCAGTTAGCTTCATTTACCTTAGAGCTCTTATCTCAACTAAGAAATTACGACAATACGAAAATAGTGGATTCGGTCAATTTTTAATTTCACGTCTCATAACGCAGTAGCAGATCTATAATATGTCAAAAATTATTTCTGCAGCTCATTTTGGCAAACATACCTAAGCCCTTAGAGGCAAATCCATTAGTAAAATTATATTTTTTAGAAAGTTAAGACTAATACTTTTTTTCTGAAAGTATTTTGAATTCAAAACTAAGCAGCTATAATTTATTTTGTTGATGGACCAGCTAATGTCATAACGTAACACAGCTACATTTAAAGGAAAGCTATCAATTAATTATAGGTCGTTTCCAAATTGGCTAAGAAAAGAATCAGCTGAGTGAACTAGCTGCTTATAAAACTAGCTCTTAGCTAAGTTAATGCAGCTGAGTAATTTCTTGATCTTCTGCATTAAGTCATCCAGAAAAGTAACACCAGTTTCCTTGAGATTTTTGAAAAGCTGGTTTCTAAAAAACAAGATTGCACAAATACATGTGAAAAGCGTTTCTGGCATTTATGTTTCAAATTGAACATTGTCAAGCCTCAACACTATTTTTTCACATATATTGTTGTTTCATCCTACAGGCAAACGTCTCAACGCTACTGTTTTAAGGGAAATAAAAGGTCCCACATTTCCAGACTGTTTTCTGCACTGTTTACAAGAGGATTGCTTTCGTTCTGTTAACGTAAGAGGAGGAAACCATCCGTCAGGAGAAGCCTGTGAATTGCTATCTGTTGTAGCGTCAGAAAATTCATTTAATCTACTTCAAGATGAGTATTTTGATCATTATACTATGTTGAGACAAAATCAAGCAATGGCAAGTGCCTATGGAAGTTTATGCAATGTTGTATCTACTTTTGTGTGTATCTAGATTCACTTATCAGTCGTGATGATAAACTTTAGGTTAGGGAATCCCGTATACTCTAGTATTGCCAAGCATTTTCTTCAGCTTAAATATAACCAATAATCTGTCGATTTTTATTTTCGGTTTTTCCATTTTGCGTTACGCATTGATAACAAGAAGAGTAGTGCGTTTGTCATATCACTTATCGTGGTTTATACACATTACTTCTCACATCATCACAATGTCTTTTACATCACCAGATATCTAGATATTTATTTTGCGCTCAGCTCAATCGAATCTCTAAACACCTTACAGATCATATAATGTTGTTTAACAGAGCTCATCGTGTGTCGTTGATAAATTTATATCAGATTTCTGCATGTGTCGTCGATAGACCGTTGATGGATTTTCTAAACCAATACAGATATTATCTATATTCTTTCATAGCCTTAGTGGACTAGCCAAAACCATTTTTTCTAATTGCTGAAAGCATAGCATGCACTCAAAGAATCGATTATTTTTGCTAGGAAAACATGGTATACAAATGCAATTAAACAATTCCCACAGTTAAGTGGCTCAATACTATTTCGTTTGGTTGCTCAATATAGATTATTCCACATTTGGCGGGTACAAATTTCATGCACGAGTTCAACGAGTGAATAATAAAAATCGAACAAAGGAAGAATACAATACAAGGACTGAGTATTAGATTAAAGTGTGACTTGTCGCTGAAGTGATAGACACAATTCAAAAGCTTCAAACCATCATGTAATTAACTTGCATAAAAAATAAAATAACACATATAAACTGCTCATGGTAACAAACTAGTTTTTCCACTGTTTTTGTATTGACATAATATAAGGTTTCCTTTCTTAAACGATTCATCTCTTACGAAGGAACTAGGTTCATATTTTACGTTGCCTTTTTCTTTCGGACTAAAGCGTAATAAGCTCGTTTTGATTTTCATTAAATTACTTGACCGGACCAAATATTGTTCATGCTTCGAAATTCATGTGTTGACAATATAAATTACTAAAGATACCGCTGGCATTTATCATTTTCTTATATTTATATTAAATTTGCTAACGAATAATGTCTGGGATGCAAATCCATTGATAAATGAAATGAAAAAAGATTGTTTTTGTTTTCCTTAATTTTAATGCTGTCCACCCTTGGCGATAAAACTTGATATGCATATTTTTACTATTGAAAAATATCGTATATCTAATCAGATCGCAGATACAAAGTTTTCTAAAGCGATAAAAAATTCATGTACAAAATTGTGTTGGGCTAGTCTAAATCTAAGTTACAATTTGACAGAGCTCATTCAGAGATGTCGCAAAGACCATAATATTTGCGGGTGGAGGGCGCAATTATTCACTGTAAATATTATCCGAAATTCTTTTAAATTTATCAGAAATTTTGCGGTTTTCCTGATATGCATTTTGTGAAATGACTTCAAAATTTTTAATTTTCAGAAAATGAATAAAAAGTTTCAAAATATTTTATTCCATAAGAATGTCTAGTTTTCGGTTAAAACACAAACTATTCATGGTTAATGCATTGATCAAAGTATAACATATCAACTGTAAGGTTTACAAAAAGGTTTTGTAACAATTATTAATCTTATGCTAATTTATATCAAAGGTAAATTTTACATGTTGTAATTTTAACTAGCATAAAAAATATGCTTTATTTTACGTATTACATGCCCATAATTTATTACTGGCAACCAACGCAGCAGTTTAAGTTACATATAATATTAAGCACTGCTTTTTGATCTTTGTGATTAGATTAATGATCACTCTCTAAATTTACCTTGTAAATTAACTGGCTTGGAGGAAATGAATAAAAAGTCGTTCTGGTTAATCTTACTGCACATTTTCCTAATATGGAATTATCTAAGTTGATTATTGTAGCGATAATTTATGTCAGTATTGTACTAGTTTATCACATGACTTCCTCCTTATTTCCACGTGATTTTTGTTTTAATTTGTAATTTTGTGGGAGGGTGTTGCACCCCAACTCACACTTTGTAGCGACGTCCTGAGCTCATTTTTGGACAAAAAATAAGTTCAAAATAACATTATATTACTTGATTTATATCTATTACTTTTGTATTCCGAATTTTTCAAGAAGATTGCTATTCAATTTTATAAATGATTAATATCTTTGGTTATTTTTCCATATTGAACACAAAATTACATTTTTTTGAATTGAAGGAGTAAAAATCAAGCTGGCTTCATCCATATTTGTATACTACTAATTGTAGTAAAAATGTTATGATGGTATTTTAGAATAAAATGTTGCCTGTAGTTGTCGAATTCGGTCTAATGATACTTCTATCCTAAAAAGATTCCTTTCATTGTTGTTTGAATATTTGTGGGATGTTTCTTTTTTAAATATTTCAGTATGGCTCCGTTGATGCACCAGGAAAGTCGTGCTATGATATATTCACACAAAGATCAGAAAATTGTCGAACTGATGGAATCTATTGGATATCTATCAATCAAACATCATGTGATCAATACTACGTTTTATGTTGCTTAGTCTATTTGTAAAAAGTGTTAAAGCAAAATAATATTTGGCATGATTAAAATTATTTGCACAAATTGAAATTTATTTTTGAAATTTAAGAATATATAGTTCAAATTTTGGAAATTTTACAACATCCGTTATCATGGCCTTAAGAAGATCAAATTAATCATTAAATGAAGATATGATCTTCGCACTTTGCTGGACAATTTAAGCAATTGTCTCATGAACATGAAAAATTCATTTAATTTCAAACACCGCACTGCATATAACATTCTTTCATATGACATTTCTTTCATGGGAAAACATCAGCCCAACAAATTGACCTCCTCTCCACTGTGTGACTTCATACCTCAGTTGGTTAGAGCACTGCACCGGCATCGCAAAGGTCATGGTTTGAATCCCGTTGAGTCACCTGAATTTTTCAGGTTCATGAGACAATTGCTTGAATTGTCCAGCGAAGGGCGAAGATCATATCTCCATTTAATTTCTAACACCGCACTGCATATAACATTCTTTAAAATTAATTATGTTAGATATTCACGAATATTTACTTTTTTATTGCTTTAGGCAATGCCGAGAATGCATTCCCAGTATTTTGCGACATGAAATCAAGAGGTATCCGAATACACTTTACGCTAAATTATTAGTGCATTTTATTTAATTTTTTAAGCTACTCACAGTTACAATATCCAGATAATAACTTTTGAGATATTCGTAAAAATAATTTATCCAGGTACATTTACATCACGTGTATGTATGTATGTTGTATATATTTATGTCACTACATACTAACGATAGTTTGCTGTCAAATGATTTAAAAAACCTGGGAGTACACAAACTAACAATACCATAAGTAGACTGCCAGAAATAATGCTACAAGAACAAATATGAAGTTACTTTCATTAAAAAAATTGACAGAAGAGAGATGGCATGCCAAACACTATATATTTTAAATATTTTTGCATCAGCTCTGTAGGAATCTGTCGTTACAAATATGATATAAGTATTTCAGATTTTTCAAAAATTCTTACTACTGTATACATTTACTATAATGTTTTTTGAATTGACTTTGAACAGCTACTGTTGCTCAACAGGCCGAAGGTAATGAAAACTCCTTCGTTCTCATTTTTTCATAGAAAAGCAAATCAAACCTTGCTAAATTTTGAATTCGTCTTAACCCTTTTTTTGAAAAGCAAACCCACCTGCAAATATATAAATGTTCTTATTGCTATCAATTAACGTAATGCATGGACATATGAAAGAGATAGAACACTTACAATCATAACATTATTTTCAGATAGACTAAATACAACGTATTTTGTTAGGATTTACAATGGCTTTCAAGGTCGTTTCTGGAGAAAATATAAATCAAACTGCTGGTAAATTTTGGAAGCAGGACGCACCATCAGAAGAAACAAGCTTAGAAGCTCTAAATAAACTCAATTTGTACAAGAAATATTATAAAAATCGAATAGTCACAATGATTAACTGGAGCAAAGTTCAACCAAAAGAGGTAAACTTTAAAAAGTACTAATGAGGTAAATGATGAGTAGCTAAATGTGCTAACATATTTGGCCTGATAATCACAAACTTAAAAGTTGAATTTAAGTAAATATTAATTAGTAAAACGTGCATAATGATAATGTCAGTTTAATTCCTATGTCAGATTTTTCGCTGAGAAGACTTTGTTACATGGCACAGTCTTAATGGAGGAATATGATAGAAACTATTAGACCCATTAAAAGATTACCAAAACAAATGTCATTTCTAAAAAGGAAGCACCATTGCTTGAATGTACTCTTTCATGGAAGTAAATCTGGAGCATGTGGATTCTATATTCCCTAATTGAGTGTTATCTTTAATGAAAAGTTAAATTAGTCCAAACATATTTTTTTCTATATTAAGTAAACCAAAAAAGTTTTAAAAACTCCTTCTAAGATGTCAGAGAAACTTTACTACATGCACGATTTTTGTTCTCATAAAATTAGCAAAATTTGCTTTTGCAGCCTGGTATACATGTTTTTAAAAAGATTTTGTCTGTCATGAGAGAGTACACAGAAATGCTGCACAGTTTTTGAGGAATAGCTTTTATTCTACAGCGAGTGCGCTCAAAATGTTTCAAGAACTAAAATGTTTCGTTAATAACATTAAAGAAAAAAATATCATGGTTAATTTTATTGTAAAAACTGGATTGATGAGCAAAGGGGTCTGTTTAAATCATTCAATGTGCTTTGTTTTAAGTATATAGCTTTTACCCCGTGCTTTTTAAATTTTTATGTACTTTTATTGCAGACTGTTGAACAAAAATCATCTTGCAAGGTAAAGTAGCATTGATCATATGCTTAGCGTATACGAATGACCTATTTTACTGAGAAATTCAGCAAAAAAACTTTTGTTGTATTATATTTGTAGGGTACACAAAATAGTACAAAATAGTACCCATTTCAAAGGGAAAACGGTAAAGTAAAAAATGTCAAAATTGCAGAGTTCTTGCGATAATTCATTGCCCAGTATCATTAAGAATAGCTTTATACATCTATCATTAAAAAAGTTAAGTTAATTTTTTGAGAGGCTACAAGTAGTTTTCTACTTCATATGCATGCATGGAAATAGAATTTAAGCAACTACAAAATTTGTCAAGCAACTCTGGTAGCTAAAATCGAACATTTATCTAACAGCGCAAAGTGAAAATGATTTGAAGCAGTAGTCTTTTCATTTAACTACATGTATATGATAAAGAGAAAACTTGAGACGACAAAAGGAAAAGTTCATAAGTTCCAATAGTCAATTTGGAAAAGACAGCTCTGCTTTTGACAGAATCTCGATGTTATCTCAATGAGGATCGTGATGTCACATAAATGCCACAAACACAAAATCTACATCCAGTTCCGGCATGGATCCTGTTCTGTTTCAATATGGTCACACAGAACCTCTTTAGCAATTTTTATTTTAAGACACCATACAAAAAAACACCGGTGTTTTGTAATTGTCGTTATAATTGTGCAAATTCCTTTTAAAAAAACTTGATAAATACAAGCCTCCTATATATTTTTCTAGAAGTTTGGATTTTAAAACTATTGTCACTTTTCAGTTGATCATTGAGCATTAGATATGTCATGAGTCGACTCCTCAATGATCGGTTAGCACATAAATTTATGAGTTGTACTAAGTTTGAGTGCTTATGATTTCTGAATTTTCTTGCATGATAGCGTGAGACTAATAGAATATTGGTCAAGGACCAGTGTAATAGTTTGTAATGTTTTGTAATGTGCTTCATTTAACGGAAATTAAATTTGCAAGGGTCGAGTTTAGAATGTCAAAAATATTTCTATTCACCAAGGTGCCAGTGTGCTCTTAGAATACGCGCAAGTAGCAATGTTTATTTTGTCGATAAACAAGACTAGATACGAAACATTTTTTTGTTTCATAAATGGAGAAAGGTTTTCAACTATCCAAAATTTTAACTATTCTGGCATACATTGACAAAATGATTGTTTCCCAAATATTTACACCGCCTTTTCTTTCCTATTCTTTTAACCATATTAGCTACCCAGTGGGCACCCGACGTTGATTCGACGCCGACTTCTCGTCGAAATAAGGTCAAAACGTAAATCGAATTGAAGTTGAATTATTAACGTCAAAATAACGTCGGAGTCTTGACGTTAATTTAATGTAATAACTTCAACGTTATTTTGACGTTGTTTCGACGTTGGTTCGACGTAATGGACGTCGTTTCGACGTCGATAATTCAACGTTGATTCGATTTGCGTTTTCGACCTTATTATATTTCGACTTCGAAACGACGTTGTATCGAAGATGTTTTGCTCACTGTGTACTACATGTACTGCAAAAACCATCTCCTCATAGTCAAAGACCAGAACAAGAAATTGAGCTTCTTGTTCACTCCTCACCATTGAAATGGTTTAAAAGTAAATTGTCAGCAATTTAAAACTAATGTCAGCAAATGTTGATCAAAACAACGCATGTCAACAACATTAAGTTGAAAAAATTACTGGCACTTTTCTCAGCCTCGTTTTGAACTTATGCACGTACTTCTTTTTTTGAGAAGTTTAATTTGAGTGAAATGAAAATATATGCATGTAAAATGTTTTAATGAAGATGTCAAATACTTATGTGCTTATGTATACTATACAAGTCTTGTTGATTGCAAACTTTCATTAATTTCATTTCTTTCCGACCTGGGCACGGGGCTGCTTTTGAGCAATGGCCGATGTGAAGAGATAACGAGGGCTGAATTGGTTATTCTGTCTAGAGCTGAATTTCACACAAAAGAGGTAAAATAACTCGCGATGAAGTTAAATTTGTCCTCTTACCTGGTGCTGTTTCAGCTACGTTTTTGGGTGAAATTGGAAAAAAAAAAAACGGGGCCAAATTAGGCCCCTGATTAACTAGCCAAAATCGGCCCTAAATTATGGTGCCGTTCTGGGGTCAATATTTTGGCTCCATTTTCGGGGCCGAAATAGCCCTTTTCTTTTCGTATACAAGAGTATACATTAAAAACAGACCCATTGTCTCATCACTGACCCCACTTTTTGACTTGACAAATTATTTAGCCTTATTCTACAAATATCAAAGATCATAAATCCACTTTAAAGCCTTTTCTGTGGTGAAGGGAGAACGAAAAGGTCATTTTTTAGTCCTAGCTGAGTCTCCGACTATCTTCTTATACTAAAAAATGTTTTAGATGCACGGTGACAAATGATCGTGAGATGTACCTTTAAAACACTAGTCTACTCCTTGACACATTTATTAATCTTGTAAGTTGTTTAATGTGTATTTACAGTAAAATTTTCTGTCCAGCTTAACAGTAAAATTTCTTTAATATACACATCATTGCCTATACGATAAATATTCTAGACCACTAAGTCAAATGTATGTGGGGCAATCTGCATGTAGTATTCTTTACATAAAAGTATTTGGTATTTTGGTTTTAATTGTATTGTTTGTATATAATGCGAGCTCTTTCAATACGTGTTGAAATTCTCTTTTTCCCATCAAGTTCAGTTGATGTAGTTAAATGGCTTCAGTGCAAAAAATTTTATGGTCTAAACTGACATCTACAGGTTAATATTGTCAATTTTATTAAATGACGGTCTTTCCAAGTCATATAAAAGTCCTGTTTAAGTAATAAAATGCTTTTAAGTATTGGTACTTGAAAAACTGACAGCAGTATACAGTACGTCTATTAACATGCTTTGTGTATTTAATATTCTGTTTTACGCTTAAATTTTTATGTCGTATCTGCAGTGTCGATGATTTTAAAGCAAGAGGGTGAAAAGTTTGTTTTGCATGATGGTCATTTTAAAAGGTGTCAAAAGATATGAGAGTTTTTGTCAGTTGTGGTGTGTTCCCTGATTCTGGTGGATAAGTGACGGGAAGTTTCACCAATTAATGTATCGGGAATTACATCCCGCACAATCGAATTGGTATATCACCAAGGATTTAATAGAATCAGGGATAGGATCTTTGAGTAAAAAGTAGTTTTTGATTTTGAAGGAAGTGAAAATTAGTCGGATGTTAATGTCAGTGCAGAAGCGTTTGATGATGTTTTAAGTCTGCGTTGTGTATGTCGTGAATGATGTCGATGTACGGTAGCTTAAAGTAAAGACTTTTATGGACTGTTCGCTGTTGGTGGTCGTGGTTGTTATATCGGATGTTTTCGTGTTGGCTTTGCAGTTAGTATTTGTTTTGTCATGGAGATATCGTTTGACAGTTTTGTTGAAGTGTAGTGGGAACGAGCTGCGTATTAAAATAGATGTGATGTTCTTTAGGTCTTGTTGAAAGCCATTTCACATTAACAAAACTAACCGTAATGTCCTTTAGGTCTTGTTGAAAGCCACTCCACATTAACAAAACTAGCCGTAATGTTTTTTAGGTCTTGTTGAAAGAAACTTCACATTAACAAAACTAATCCTAATCTCAACGTCCTATTTTTTCTTTTTACCACTATATTCAGCTTGTAAATACTTTCATCATTAATTGTAACCACTATTTCATTGCAATATAACAATCTATTCATAAGTGTATAAATTGTATCACATACAGTATCATATTACTCTTACATGTATTCATCACATACATAATACTCCTTATTATACTAAAGATGGCATCATGAGATGTTGAAACGTGTTATTTTAGAAAACTTGTCATTTTTATTAAATGCGCAATATGTTTATCATTTCATAATAATCATAAATGAACAACATTTTTTCATGCCGCTGCATGGCAATTGAATGCAATTATTTAGGTTTCTCTGCAGTTTCAAGCAACAGCAAATGAAACGGCGGATTTTTCTCTGAATTTTATCGTACTTAAAACCATATTCAACAGTTGTATACAATCCTAACTATATAAAATGCAATTTTAATTTGAAAGCTTTGTTTGAGGAAAACTCGTTTTTTCCTCATTGTTATACAATGAAAAACATACATCATTGGACTATGTAAAAATTTAAACGTCAAAACATCAAATACACGACCGTCTGTTAAGTTTTGACTCTGTTTTTTTTGCACTTTGTAGCTATATACCCAACATATGTATATTATTGTAAGGCAGATGTTAAAGTCAATGTACAATTATACGACGTATGCAAATACGTAATTTTGTATGCCTTTTATTTCTGCATAATTGCAAACAGCTAAATTAAGTTTTTCCACATTCTCTACCATCATCCCAACGACTGTCCGAGTCCGACAAAAGTAAGTAACAACATACTCAAGCGACTTAATTTATAGTTTGACATACAAAACAGTCAGTAACTAAATTACAGGTTGCAAAAATTATGTTATTCCGCACAGTTAGCTAATGTCCTGAGTTTTTGATGAAAATGGTTGCCATGGGAAAAAATAAGACACGTTGCAAACAAAAAAATTAGTAACATTTTGGCTGCGTTATAAACATGTAAAAAATAAGGTAAATGCGCTCATAATTTAATTCATATTTTCAGGAAGAGCATGTTCAAAAGAGATCATATTATGCCATAGCATATGCATCATGAAAAGTACAATTGTTTCATCGATTAGTATTATCATCTATCTTCTATTTGCTGAAGTAAAATTGGACGAAGTTTTTTACAGAAAAGAATTATACCGAAAAATTGGCCAAGGTATGCATTTTAAGAACTGCATGGTTCAGATGCTAAAATTTGCTGCTTCATAACTGTTGTATGAATTTTTTCGAAGAAGACGCAAATTATATTTTCATTTCCATACGTGCACAATGAAGCCAAACTTGCTTGGGTTTAACTGGACAAAACAATATATTGCTAAATAAATTTCAACAAACTTTTCAAGTTTTAATGATATTTTGAATTTGACATATTTCTTAAAATAAATATCAAAGAAAAATGTTTTAAAAGTTGGTTTTATGAGAAGGATGAAAGTTACTAAATATTAGAGGAGTTTTTTTTGCTTACACGCAAAGTATTTTTCGTCAATTCCATATTTTAACAGATTTATTTTTTAAAGTACGAGAAGAAAGAAATCCTCTTGATTTCACCCTAATTTTTTACTTCCTTTAACAATTGTATTTCCACCTCTGAACAGTTGCGACAACAAATAATAGGGTGTTTTAGCAGAGCCTACGAGTACGACTACGAGTACGATTTGCGTCATTATGGCGCGAAAACATTGTTGCGACAACAAAAACACGTAGCCGTCATCAATCTGAGTACGATGTTTTGTAAAAAATTCGTAGTCGCGACTACGATGTCTTTTTAAGCAAAGAAAGTAGGTATATTTCTTTATTCTGTAAGAAATTAGTTTACAGTACTATTTTCGAGCATCCAGGCTTTAATTTAGAACCCTTTTTGAGCGCAGATGTACATTAAAAAGGTAAATATGACCTGCAAAACTTTCATGTATTTCGTACGCAAAGTGAAAGGTAAACAAACAATAAAATAGTGCAAATATATCGTACATAAAACTTAAAATAGTGAAAATTTTTCAGTCTAAAGAGTCCTATATTCTCGCAAAACCAGTATTATCGATTCTTTGATATCATTATTGACAAATAAAGCCGTAGCTGCTTCGCAAACGTCGGTGTTTTACACAATAAAAAGGCTCGTTCTGTTGTTTACAACTAAAGCAAAATTTTGACGAAGCGATAACGACAACAACCTTCCTTGTGCCATTCTCTTACACGGTAAAATTTCGTACTCGTTCTCGTAGTCGTACTCTTGCAAAAACTCCCTATTTGCTATTGACAAAGAACACTTGTTGAATGCCGCATCTGTACTGGATTGCAACTTTCTTCTGCGAACTAACATAACAGGCTCGTAAGCCCCGTTACCTGGCACTAAATTGGGAAGCTTTTTGACAAGCGTGGGCTGGACGTATGATGTGGTGTTTTGTCATAAAAACCCTTTATTTCCCTAACTGTCTTGATCGTAGAGTTTTGGAAGGTTTGCTTGATGTTGGCATTAGGCAACACTGAGAAAGAAGGAGTGAAACAAACTTTTATTTAATCATCAAAATAGCTAATTGCACATGCAAGATCCTTCAATTTACAATAATGTAAAACTGCACGAAGTTTTCCTCAAAAAAAGAATTCTACAAAAAAGTTGTCCAATGTTTCAATTTGAAAATTTGGATCAGCTGCCAAAATTCGGTACTTCATTCTGCAATTTTTTTCTAAAAAGATGCGGATAAGATAATATTTCCTTACACATACCACACTTCAATTAGGTTTAAATGTACGAATTATTACTGCTAAAGTACGACTTTTAGAACAACAAATAAAACTATAAAGAAATATATTTTGGTTATAGTTGTTATTTACTATAGCAAATACACTTTTCAAGACAAAATTAATGTTTTTGTTAAAAAGCACAACAAAGTCTCTCTTCCTCGTAATATGTACTGACCAAGACAATATTATGAAAATAAATTCTGGTAATAAAGACTATGACGAATTTTTTGAAAATTCCATGTTGTTGAAAAAATTATTCATCATTGAACAGCAGAACGTGTCGACTTATACCCTCAACACGTCATCAAGTATTTACTATAATTGCAAGTAATGTGGAATACATATACAGCTAATTGTTCATTATGAGTTTTTAAAGTGTTTTGAACAAAAGATTATTACATTGCGATAAGACAAGTCGGTTTAAAATAGAACAAAAAGAACTGCCAGAATAACATTTGAAAAGACATACAAATAATATAGAAAAATCAAAAAGATCGGGAGAGGCCTGGTAACGAGAACCTCTGTTAAGCGGACACCAGTCCATTCCCCGAGGGTGTCCGCTTAATACAGGTTTGACTGTATTATAAAGAAAAAATTATTATTTAAAGTAAAAATTTCAGTTGCAATGTTTCATTTATCTGGTGCAAATTGAGTGGGAGTGCGGCCAGTAAACAGAAGACAAAAATTAAATATTGTACTAAGTTTAGTTTTAATGAGGCTGCTGTTTAGATCTTGCTATTAAAAAGTTTATAACTAGACAACTAGATCATTAAAAATCCGTGAGGTATACTATATAATATTTTGCTGCAGTGCACAAAATTGAAGTGAAAATATGTAAGTTGAACATTAAGTGAAATACGGGTAAAATTGGGTTTTCTACGTTGAAACTTGCAGACGTGATACTTATTTGAAGATGTTAGCGGTATAGGTGAGAAAAAATTCGACGTGCTCAAATCTACGACAAATTAAATAAGAAAGCAGTTTTAATTTTTACATATTTGCTCAATTATAACTGATATGAAATTTTATGCGTCTTGATATTTCTTCATGTTCTTATCAAGTAACTGTTGTCATATGAGGTATTTAGTTTCTGATAAATAATTTAGCAAAGTTTAGTGATCCAAATGCTCGATCAAATTATGAATCAAAGAAGTGATTTTTTTGGTATTGCATGCATTAAGTTATAGGAAAACAAATTTCTGCAACTTCCACAGCACATTCAGTGAAACAAGATTTCACCAAAAAATTTAAAACTATGCAGAGGTTTAAATTCTAAATTCCAATTTTTGAAATGAAAGAAAACAAAAAATTTTTTTCGATTTCATTTATCAATCTTGTTTGAAATCTTTTAATCTTAATTTGTTCTGAAAATCACATATGCATTTGAAAGACCATGAAGTAATTCCATATTGATTTTATCATTATTGTGGAATAAATTATTATTGTTTCCTCTTGAAGGCCTTCGTCTCAATGTTACAGCTATCAGGAAAGTAAAAGGTCCCACATTTCCTGAATGCTTTTTTCACTGTTTACAAGAAGATTGCTGTCGTTCTGTAAACATAAGAGGAGAAAACCATCAATTAGGGGAAGCCTGTGAATTACTTCCTGGCGTACATTCAGAAAATCCCTACCATCTTGTTAAAGATGAATATTTTGATCATTACACTCTGTCGAGGCCAAAGCAAGCAGTAAGAAATTACCACAGCTTTTTTAATATTAACGTGATCTTTTATGTGCAACTGAAGATTTTGAAGCTGCAGTTTGATCAGTTTTTGTCCTTAGTAATATAATATTACATCATCATAGACAATAAAGTGCTTTGCGTTAAGAGTATTGATAACAGTCAGATCGAGGAAATTCTGAAGTGAAGCAGTGTTTTACAACTTATACCTAGTAAGCCCCCTGAAAATTTTTCGATGGGTCATATAACATTACTACTTAGTTTAAAAATTGTTGTGAATGTAATTTGAATTAAAAGCCCTAAATTTTTCTCAGACATATTTAATATTTGAAGTTAAGCTGGAGTTTTCATTAACTTCATTGACAACTTGTTCTCAAGCATTTTCCTGTTCGCAGCTAATAAGTTTCTTTTTTTGAATATGTCAGTATGGCTCCATTGATGTACCTGGAAAGTCGTGCTATGATATATTCATACAAAGACCAGAAAATTGTCGTTCTAACGGAATCTAGTGGATATCTATAGATCAAATTTCAGGTGATAAATACCAGAATCATATACATACGAAAGAGATGGGACACTGGAAGCAAAATTGCCTAACGTCTGTTATTCGTGTACCAAAAGCCAACAAATGTAGACCAAAAATGGGGGAAAGGCAAAAATTTTCTGTTGTGTTTTTTTATTCACGAATAGACAGTGATCGCTAACTTTGGAATTTAGTTGGTTATAGATGTTATAACAATAGAAAATGCATTTATTGCAGTGGATGTAATCTATACGCCTTTGCAACTACTTTTGCATTTAATACTGTTTTTGCAGATTTATAATGTTCGTCGCTTTGATTATTGCTACTAAAACAAAACATAAAATCAATGTAAACATTTTTTATGATTTATTTCTCCTGTAAAAAAAATGGTTACATTTTGCGCTTTTGGAACAAAAATGGTGGCTAGAAAGCCATGTGACTATATTTACCCAATCACCTGGATTAAACGTCTCAACTAAACGTCTAGACAGAGAAAAAATATAGTATAAATCAATCACTAATTTATTTTCTTATAAAAACAATTAGAAAATAGTCCGCTGTCAAAATAGATGCATTTTAAACTTATTTATTTGTTGTTAGAATTTTTTGTTACAATTCAAAATTTAAACATTTTTCAAAAAATCTACCCTGAATAAGTGCTTATTTTCCCTGTCTTCGCATACAATATAATCAAAATATTGTTTTACTTTAGGCTATAGCAAGAATGTTTTTCCAGTATTTTGTGACATGAAGTCAGGAGGTACTTATATACGCTTTGCGTTAAATTGTTTTCTTTTTTACTATTGTCCATTTTCCCAACCGTTTCATTGGTAGAGAGTGCGTCACATGAGAGTGAATGCATTGAACTGTATCCTTAGAAGTAACTCCCGAGAATGAGTAAATGCGTTATTGATCGAAAGATTATACATAGTTCACGTTCGTCGCCGCGTGACAGTAGCAGATTCAGAACAGGATTAATAGGTTTTTATAGACCTGTTCCATTTTCAATGACTTAATGTTATCAGTTAACCTTTTTTATCCAAATATACAATATTACCACTTTTAGGAGAAAGTAATATGAGCGTGAGCTCGGTATGCTGCCGTGTGTGTGTACTGTAATTATAACTGCAAGGCCTGTGATGTAAGACTTCAGTAAAAGGAGAACAACCTTGTACTAGAATGTAAGCTGGTCAAAACGCAACTTGATTGGCTTCCACGTGACAGTTTGCCGGAATCCAACCGGTCATAAACCTATAAGCGGGTGGTCGATTGAGCTTGTTAAACTTCATCAATAGATAAGAAAGCTATAAAATTGAATAATATACAGATTGATCTGAATTGTCTCATCCAACCGTTAAATGTAGCACATAAATTTCGATTTTCCGCTATTGAAAAAATATATCACAAAGGGAATGTTCAAAATGACATGAAGGGGAAGAAGATAACCTCAAGTGAATGATCGGGTTGTTTGACTCAGTCGTAATTCGAGACATTGATAGCATTGATCTTTCATAGCCTAGCGTAGGCGGGAAAGAATCAAATTGGTCATGCGTAGGTTTGTATCGTTTTGAATGTTGCACTTGTAAAACAATGTCAGTATTATCCCTAAAATAGATTAATGTAAACCTGTCGATAAAAATCCTAGATACCTCCCCCCCACCACATAAGAATTCAACCTTTGCCAGACGTGTGCATGCTGGCAACTAATCTCGATCAAAAAAGTACTGGAGTTTTTTCAACTTATCATTAATATGGGTTTGAATAATTCCTGATATCGTGCTCAACCTTCTCCAATAATTGTGACTAGTTATATAGGCACTGTGTGTGTTAAGTCGGATATTTGTTTATTCCTGGTGACATGACTTTCAATATGTTTCCAGCCAGGGAAAGGCTGGAAAGAGAAAAATGGTCGCACGGTTATTTTGATATCATGACAAATAAAACAGATTTGGAGTCAAAAACTAAAAATAACATTTCGTCACGAATGCTTTTCCTACTTTTATAATTTGCAGCGAAAACCTGGTTTTTACAAGAAACCTAAGCACAAACAAGTAAAAAAAGGAACGTAGTTATATTCTTCAGAGGCTGGGGGAAAATGAAAAAAAATTATTTTCAATTTGCTTTTGTTTCACCGAACACTTGCGTCAAGTTGATTTGTCTGTGCTTATGCTTGTGACTGAGGCATCACTGCATTTTTTTGAATTTTCTTTTGTCTTTGCTTGTTCGTATGCTATACTTGTAAAAATCAGGCTTAAAGCCAGGTTTTTACCAGCAACATAAGCATAAGGACAAACAACACAAAAAAATTCATAAGAATACAATGAAGCGACCAACACAATCATCAGCATAGGCATAAGCATAAGCATAAGCTCAGCAGCTCGACATAAGCAAATCGGCCTTAACGTAGAACAAAAACAAATTGAAAATATAATGCCTTTTTTATTTTCTCTGACTTCTAAAGAATATGTTTTGCTTTTTTTTATCGCTTGTGCTTGTGTTGCAAATGAAAACTAAGCTTAACAGAGTAATACAGATAATGTTAGCTTACAAACTTTATTTACTCCTTACAAACTATACCAGCGGCTAGCGCTACTCTTGCATGCTTATCTAATGAAAGGAGTACCCCATAGTTTTCATCATTCAAAAAGAGCAAATCCACACACTACTTTGCGATTACATCTCAATTCGTTATTCGAAAAGTCATCATATCCTTCAGAGTTCAATAATGTTCATACTATACTGACTGTTAGTGTTAACTGATTTCAGTGCATGAACTTGTAAAAGCTACTTATAGAAGTAAAAATTTTCAATTTTAGTATTATTTTCAAACCAACTAAAAACAATGTATTCTGTCAGGATTCACAATGACTTTCAAGGTCGTTTCTGGAGAAAACCAACGGACACATGCTATTGGTAAATTTTGGAAGCAGGAAACACCATCAGAAGAAGCCAGCTTAGAAGCTCTAAATAAACTCAATTCATACAAGAAATATTACAAAAATCGAATTGTCTCACCGATTAATTGGGGCAAAGTTCAACCAAACGAGGTAATATTATAATAGTAACAAATTAATTCAATAGTGAGTTGCTGTACTAATAATGGACTCCGTCGATTTCGACATATGAGGGTTCCACGAAGTGGAACATCCTGGTTACTTAAATTATAGTGAAGGCAGCTGACCAGACTACAATCACTCGTACCTTTCACGCAAATACAACGCTGATATCAGCGTGACACATTTGTGACAAGGCTGCAACATTGCAGATGCTGTACTAATAGTATTGTTCTCATTGTCAAGAACATACAAATAACATAAAAGTAAATATCAATGCGTAGAACATGTAGAAATATAATGTCAAAACAAGTTCCTCGCTCATTATGCTATGTTATATCATTTAAGGTGTCGAAAAATATCATATGACGTTGTAAAGTGCAATTTCGTATTTCTACCAAGAAAGTCGTCTCTATTGTGGGCGTATTTAAACCAGATTTGTTCCGTTTTCTTAAACTCATAAACCAGAGAAAATGACGCAAAACACGGCGAAGACCGACTAATTTTAGTTCGTGCATTTAAAAAACTTTCTGAAGTCTATCTTTAAATGGCAGATACCGTACGGATAAATAGTGATGCTATATTGACGGTTATATAACAATCCAATTCCGAACATATATTGTTATTGACATTTTGCTGAGTGTTAATGTTAATGGTTATTATGCTATTGCTCTTCCAAAGACGTTAATAAATGCTAAGTATAAATGCCTTCAAAATTTGACTCACGCTTTTGACTTTCTCTCTACATAATGCATAATGAAGTGATCCTATTAAAATTCCTAATACATTGCGAAAACGTCACGTCAGTTATCCACTAGAAAATCATGTCACAACAGACAGAAAATTTCATATTTACCGACATCTCCATAAATCTCATTCATTTAAAACCAACTATTCACACCCTTGTTTCAAAATTATCGACAATGCAGAAACCTCATTTGCCCTTAAAATCAGAGAGGCACTTCACATTAACAAAACTAGCCTGATTTTAACGTTCAAGTTTGTCTGATTTAACAGTATATTAAGTTCGTAAAAACACTGCTCTTTAATTTATCTCGCTTCTTCATTAATGTTATAGCTTATTCATATTTATGGATTAATATTATTATTACTGTATCATACTACCACTACATTTGTAATTATTTATACATACTGACGATGGCATCAGGAGATGTCGAAACATGTCTTTTTTGAAAAAAAATTGTGGTTTACTTTAAAGGCGCATTTAACATTTGTCGTCGTGTTAATCAATATCAAGATTAGTTTATTTAACAAACTTTTTAGTTATTTACTAAAACGTACATAGCTATAGATACTTTCAAAATTACCAGTTATGATGATATCTTATTTGATAATTTTTGACATCATAAAATGTAAATGCTCATGTAGATCAGATAAATCCTCAAATGGCATTGTAAACAGTATAGCAGATAAAAGGTATATGGATATTTTTTTTATCTTCAATAAGGTACGTTTTGTGCTATACAAAAAAGGTTTGGAACAGTTGGTCCTAAAGTTCAAGAGTGAACATAGCAACTACTTGAACTGGTTTACAAAAAACAACCTCGTGCAATCACCATGGCATGATATAACATCGTCTACATTTAACTACTTTACAATCGAAGGTCCTTGTTGGGAAGAGAGATGTCGTGATTTTCATATTAATCACTACTACACAGAATGTTCTGTTGATGATGGATGGTTAAGCATTGGAAACACCATAGAATGCGACTGGGAAAAGCGATTTTCTGGAACATCATTCATTTACAGCAAGGTTGGACGACGCGATAATTACAATAAAAAGAGTAAGTTACCGACATTTTGTATTTTTGTTTTATGATATTTTTTTAATACTCTGTCTGGCAATTTGATCTTTAATCGACTTTTCCTCCGATAGCTATAGTTGCTGCAAATAAATCAGTTCAGGGTTAAAATATGTTTGGTGCGTACAAACGAATATTCTATAGTGAGTTAGTCCTACAAATGGTAAAAGAGGGAGACATTTATGAAAATTTGATTTTTTTATTATTTGAGCCTTATAAATGCTTCCTATTGAACACATGTGATATATAAGTTATTACTAGTCTTCTTTTTTTACACAAAACAGGTAAAATATCCATGTCATAGCTAGCTTAATACTTGATAATGTTGTAATATAGGTTCGTTCTCTGGAGACTCCGATGTGTTGGCTATTTATGTGCGATGATGTGCCCAGGAAAAGAAAAATCTTATTTATCGCGTGAATGTGATATGTTGCATAGCAACATCAGCGGACTCAGACTTAGGAATGAAAATTTTAGCTGCTAAATTGAATACCTCGTTTGGAATCAAATACTAAAGATGTTTTTACGTAGTTGTTGCTATGATTATTTAAGAGTAATATTATTCGCTTAAAGAATAAAAATAAGCTCGTCAATTGGTATCAACATCATGATCAGCAGAGTTGCATGAAGTCGAAGTTATATTTTCTACTTTTTTAAGCAACATTTTTTCCAGATCACAACAACCACCCCATTCAAGCATTATTTATCACCTGACAAGACAATTTCTTTATGACGACATATTGAGTTTTCATTTCTTTAATTACATACGTGAATTTTTTTATTAGCAATACTTTGAAAGGTAAAATACATTTTCAGTGCCTTAATTTTTGGTGGAAGTTTTTATCAATTTGCCACTTTTTTCTCTTATAACAAACTCATACAATAAATACAGCAGGATTAGAGAGTGTACAAGAGATAAACAAAAATCATAGCCTAAACGTATGAAGAGAGATTCGACCATGCTTCAAGTTGAAAAATAAGATTTGAGAAGAGAAAAAATACCTCCAGCTAGATTTTATAAACACGTGCACATGCAACAAATGATCTAAGAGCAGACATTGCTGAACCCAAATATATTACAGAACATGTTCTCATGAAGAGAAAAAGAAATGGGTTGGAAAAACTGATACTGATACAGAGCATGATTTATCAACGGATGATATATCATGATGATACCTGGGAGCTTATATCCCTTATGAATGAAAAGAATGTGATAAAATGCAAGTACATTTTCGGAGAAGTTGAGAGATTAAGGAGAGTGTATTAGCTCAGGGTTACTAACAAGCTTAAGAGAGTTCATTTTCACCTGGAACGCTTCCATTTAATTGATTTTTGCTAACACTATAGTTAATTATCCTGACTGAGATACATACATCAGATGAATGTAAAATAAGCATTCCTCTGATAAGATCTTATGAACATCTATATTATGCGCCAGCCAGATGGGTATAATGATAAAGTAATCCTACAGCCTGTATGAAAAAGCTGACTCTTGGAAAAAGTTGTATAAAACAAGACGCGAGCGGACTAAGCAAAAATTTGAGCTGTGTTGTACAAGCTGACAAATTTAAAGGTATTTCGTTGGGCAAGCGTTAATAAACGCAATATCTTTGAAACATGGATTTTTTTTGCGTTTTTGCATTTCACCTTAAGTTTTATTACAACATTTACACCTTTGTGAATTGGCTCTTGAAAATTTGATAGCTTCTACAACACAGACCATATTTTGACTCTGTTGAATTAAATTTTCTTTAGATGAGTTTCTATTTTTCGTTCGTAAGGCCTATTTTGAAGGACTTTTAACAACGGATTTTTAGTAAAACTTCTAGAATTTTAAAAACTCATCAGCTGTACCAGAGAACGTCCTGTTTTTGAAACCGCAAACTTTTGGCTTATTCTACGCGCATCTTATATTAGAGAATTATTTGGCTCCTTTTTTATACACCCTGTAAACAGAGGCGGATCTAGGATTTTTCAAACATCAGTCATGGAAGCTGGAAGTGTTCCGCATCTAAGGGGGTTCTGAGGCATTCTCTCCAGGGAAATTTTGAATTTCAAAGTCTTGGAAATGACATTTTCAGCGCTTTAGAGCAATACAAAATATATTTTGTGGGCATCGTTTTTGCGTAAAAACAGCACATTTTGCTTAAGTTTTTTTCAAAAAAACTGAAATGAACAATACTTGAATGTTTAGCCAAATATTTAGGCTCATTAGCATGCCTAGGAACATAAAATTTAATTTACAATAATGCTATTCCAAAAAGATATAATCTTTAAAAAATTCTACCAATTTGTCAGGCATAGACCCCCGTAGAGACCCCTATTCACAACTCTATGTAATGAGTTGAGTTCGAAATGAAGTACTACAAGGGACACTTCATAGATGTGGAATAGCTCACATTTCAAACCATGCAAGTTTATTGTAACCTTTTATCCATCTCCATATACAGTTCCAGGAAATTCACCTTTTGAGAAAAAACTCAAATTTTTTTCTGCCAAAGATTAAACAAAGATTATGCGAGTAAAAATTTGCGATTAAGGACAGCTTAATGCCATTAATGTTTATTAGGCCTTTCACTAGACTATCTTTTGTAAGTTTATGCAAGGTGTGCTGAATAGCAAATACCAGTAGCATTGTATTTGCCAATATAAGCAGAATGTAACTAACATGTCTTTAATCATATAATTACATGAATGTTAAAATTGGTTCATGTGTCATGCTTACTGGTTATGATAAATATCTTTTCATATGATCAAAGCTCGTTTAAATGTAAATCTGAAATAATTTAGTTTAGAAATTATAATGATCATCAGAAAAATTACCTAGTGATCATGAAAAATACTTTGCTGTTTTGCCAAATTTCATGGTTTATCTGCATACCTAGGAACACAATTTTGTTTTATAGAAAATACTTTTAATACATCAATACCCCTCAGGAATTTCTGGCAAACAATCGGGTATGATCCGTAGATCAGCACACCTTGACATCTCTACATGAGGTGTTCAGTTAGAAAAGGGGGAAGATATGTGACATGGACAACATTTCATGTATGTGAAATACTCAGGTTTAACACCATTCCAGTCAAATTATCAAAATGAAAAGCTTCATGGATCAGAAAGACTCATAATCACCGGTTATAGTAAACAACTTCTCATTTAATCAATATTAGTTTTCTCAAATCTTGAACAATGTGTAGTATAACTCTCCAATGATTGAATGATCAATGATCATAAACTGAAAAGCCCCAAACATTTGTTTATAATAAAGTAAAGAATAGTATGGCGCCTTATGGCTACAGATTTTTTGCCCATTGAAATATATTTGAAGGAATGCAGAATTTGGCTGCCATATAACGGCCAAGATTCCCAAACATTAAAGAAATCAAAGCCAAAAGTCCTTCGGCAATAACAATTTTAGAAGCATCAACCTGCTTACCATACGCCACATTGACATGAATCGCATCACATATTCGCATAAATTGACTTCGATATTTACATTCATGTATGCACTTCACTTTTCCTTTACTTACGATTTTGGATGTAAACTTCTGCTACGAAAACTCTAAACAATGATGGCTTGCTTTTGAAAATCAATGACTGAAATGTCTCTCGCGATATCGTCTTTGCCAAGCATTTACAATTCATTCATAAATTTTTCACCCTTTTGAAAAAATTCACAGCAGCATTCATGTCAATATATGAATTTGTAAAAGATTTCCCTAAATTCCATCTGATTGTAGTTTCTACCATGCTTTAGAAAGTTACTATGAAACGATTAAACATTCAATTCAGACTGTGGGCTTGACTATGTTATTTCAGTTGCTAATCAGTCGAAATCGGTCAAATCAATCACAGTAAGACGAAAATTTAAATGAACTAATTATACGATAGCAATTGGACTCCCTTATCGGACCGGCACCCCGCTTATCGGTCGAGATTATTCCATATCGTCAACTGATCTGGCTATTGACCAATGGGATGGCCTAAATAAGCGTTCTTGAACTCCGTTATCAGTCGAGACAGTCGAGCCTCCTCGCTTATTAGTCAGCCAGTTAATATAATTCAATATATGTTAAAATCCACTGATCTGTTTACTAAGGTGGTATTTATATAAGTTTTCATGTATAAAAATGAAATCCTGGAATGACGGGAATTTAATGATCACAAAAAACTGTAATCATTAAATTTGACAAATATAATTCTTGAACTATAAACATCAGTCGCGTGACTGGTTTGACATACCCTAGATCCGCCCCGATTTGAGTGTAACTTTACGCAACTATCTTGAAATAAATGATACATGAAGCAAACTGGCATTAAAATTTTAAAATCGTTTGCAGGTATTTAGGGAACCTTTTTGCGTTTTATAAAGTTCACTTTTACCTATTGCTAGTTTCTGGAATAAAAACGGATGATAGCGGTAGCAACAATAAAGTAAATGTCGAAACGTCAGTCAACAACAACAAAAACAGTCTTTCTCAGGACTATACCAACCTGGACGATCTACATTTACAAACATGGGAGCAACAATGATGTTCTCTATCTACCCAAACCAAATTCAAGTGTTCTTAAAGGGATAGCTTTAGCTACACAGGGGCTGGAATTTGTAACTACATCCATTCAAAGTTATAGTAAATTTTGATGTAAATTTTTTAATATTTTCAATATATTTAAAGTTAATTCAACTTTTCCACTTTTGTAAATATAAATTTCAATTTATTTAGTATAGACACGCACACAGCCATCTTAATATCAAACTTTTTATTTTTTACTCTGTTTATCAGTTTAATTTAAAAGACTATGTATGAAATTTCAGTCTGTCTAGCCGCCATATTAAAAAAATGCCCATAATGCACCGTAAAAGTTGAATAGATTTTTAAAGAAAAACAATGAACAAAATGCTAGAATTTTCAATTTCTTCAATTGATGGTTGAAAAAAATACCATCCTTTTAAATTTAGTAGCATTCCAACTGTTCTAAAAGCTTTTTACTATAACGTCGATCTGCTACAGAACTACGTTTTTGAATGAGCTCAAAAATATAAAGGAAAGGCTACTCTTTGAGAAAGGCTATTATTCATAACTTTGTCTAATCTATATTCTCTAATTTATAAGATGTGTTGACATGGGCCCTCTGAGTGGTACATTTGAGTATGGTCGTCAATCCTGAAATAATTGGAGGGGGGACCATATTCATATATTCAGTTATGCCAGGCTGATTTCTTTTGAAAATGAAATTGTTTTAAAAAGAAATTAGCCAGGCATAGCAGAATATCTGAGTATGCCCCCCCCAATTAAGACAGGATTGACGCTGATGCATTTGAGTAGTGTTTTTTTTTGCCCACGGAATATATTGATTTCAATGGCATTGGCTAATCACTCTCTTAAGAGTCTGGGAGCGAAAGTGGGAAAATCGGAATTTTTTAAAGTATCTCAGGTATTTTGCAAGCTTACTTTAGATCTTTACACTATTACAGTAAACAACACTGATTATGGAATTCAGAGAAATAGACGTGAAGAAGAAGCTACAATTACACAATTTAATCAAAAAGAGCTACAGACCTGCTTTGAGCTGGAAAACAAGCAAAAATCTAGAACTTTGGAAAAAAACAGTGCATTATGCTCAATCGAGATGAATATTGTTGTCTATTTATGGCCGCTTTTGCAATCGCAAAACGTCCAAAGTTGGGCGCAAAGTCATATAACGAAACATAATTAGCCATTTGCTGTCGTTTTATAGCAAATTTTTCTCTACAACCAGATATTTTCATAGAGAATCACAATACGCAAGAAATAAGGACGATTCGAGAAAGATTAATGTTCTTAATATAGAACTAAAAATATTTTCTTTTCATAGGTTGTTATTAGACTTCAGGCCAATTTTACTTTAAATTAATAAGTTTGACTATTATAAAAATGTTAGTTTTTAAATTTTTTATAAAACGACTGGGTCTACCTGTAAAAAAAGAAGAAATCTGTCCAAACTGCCCCTGTAACTTATTATTCAAAATTTATCTTAGTTTAATGGATTAACGACATTAAGTTTTTTCACGTATTGGATTGTACTGAGCATGCAGGTACTTTAGGTGAACATTGGCTTAGATTACAGTTCTTTCATCCAGAAAAATCTTAACGCTTATCACTTCATTTGTTTAACTACCCGTCATTTTTATGATGTAGCTATACCCCTACTGCTGATGTATACATGCACACTCCGTTATGCGAGGAGTGGGAAGAGAATTTTGAGAACATAGCAGATCATGAAAGATACATAGCAAATAAAGTTATCTAGAGAACAGAGGGTAAAAAGAGTTTATAATACATGTGAACATAATGAGAGAGCAGGGGCGAAACTCAAACGTTAAGTAGGAAGGGGTGTGTGAATATTCATACATTCAACTCAGCCCTGCCTATTCCAATTGAAATTATAATCGCCAACATGCCAAATCAGTCAAGCAGAGCTGAATATATGAAATTCTTCAAACACCTACCCCCTACCTCCCCCACTTAATGTTCTAGTTTCGCCCCAGAAAGAGATACTTTGTCGTGGTGACAAATTTGAATAATGCTTTGAAAAGCGCAATTACCATGGATCGGTAAGAGGCCAAAACTCTGTAATTTTTGACCATTTACATTGGCTACTACGCATTTGAAGACAAATAATGTATAAACATAAGAATACTATAAAAAGCATATGAGGCAAGGAGAATGCAAGGATTAATCACGAAAAAAAGGTAACAAAAGTTTAATTTGATAATTGCTGTCGAATCAATACAAAGTCATTCATATTATCACCCGATTCGAACTTTATCAGCAATAAGTTCTCTTTGTTATCAACAAATCGTTAAAGGTTAGCAGAAAGGTTAGGGCACGGATGGAGTTCATCAGAGTCATTGTCGTGGTGGCAAATCGAAAATTGTTTTTATACAAGCAATTGCCATGATGGATGTCCAAAATAACCAAAGTTTCTAAAAAGAACTGTTTGATAACCAAAACACCAACAGTTTTTGAATAAAGTTCTTCTTAGAACTATTTGGTTTTTTTGGCAATCCATCACGGCAACTGCTAGTTTTTTGAGTTCATTATGCATTCAAAAACTAACATTTTCAATATATATTACGAATTATCAAGCATTGAATACGATAACTTTACTGGGTCCAACCCATTGAAGTAAATATATCTGAAATGCCAACTCAGGGGAGGAAATTGAAGCCAATATTGAAGCTATTGTTGTAGGTAGACCCAGTACTTTATAAAAGATTTTTATTAAAATTGTTTCTGTTTTGACTAGATAATTTTGGCACGAAAACCCCAATTATATCACCTAAAAGCAATTGCTATCAAAAGCATGATAACCAAATTTGATATTTCCATAGCAAACAAGGCAAAAATGTGGAAAAAACACGACAATACGCATTGACGTTCTGAAAAACCGCGCGTTTTTTACTGCTTTTTCTATGTTATTGAAAGTTCTGGCTAAATTCAAGATTTCAAACCTCAAGAAATAGTTAAAACAATGTAAAATACATCTGTTAGGAAAGTTTCGAAACGATTTAACTTTCTGGGATTGAGAAAAATGCATTTAAAAATTGACGTAAATATTGTTAAAAGAAAAACAAACCAGCCTCTCTTAGATGACGTCAGCGACAGCATAAAGTTTTCATTAGGACTTCTCAAAAAGAGTTTAATTTTCAAGGAGAAAATGTAAGGTTATAAAAAAATGTAGGTTATGCTTTACACCTGTTAAATACACAAGGCTATAAGCTTTCGTAAAAATGACCAATTTGCCGAAGGGAAAAATGTGTTTTTTAGAAGAATTTTTATGCCATGAAAATACACATACTGCAAATAAACAAACAGCTTAGTGTCAAAAAGAAACGTGAAAGATCTTCGGAAAAAGAGTTGTTAAAAAGCTATTTTATTGATATATATATGCATAAAAATGAAGAACATATTTCAAATACGCCACGCTCCTTTTTTATTCTGTCTGTGTAAAGCAAATAATGAGAGAAACAGAAAATAAAAACAATGCTTATCACAGCAGGCCGATAAGCTTGGAAGTTGATACGAAAACAATAATGAAATAAACAAGGAAAATTGTGGGTCATGAAACAAAATACATCACTGGAGCATTATTTAAACGTAAAAAGCCATGAATCATACACAAAAAGTTGTATAAAATGCTATAAATATTCAAATATGTTTTATATCGCATTCATATTTTTTAACATTCAGTTCCGTCTTGTAGACTTGTACTAGTTTGTCGATCGATCGTCCTCAATTCTTACTGAATATGTTTCTCCAGGAAAATATCTTGCTGTGGCATGAACTTGTTCTGTTAGATGCAAATTTAAAACACAAATGTGAGAAAAAACAGACACCAAATAATTTTTTCCACATTTTTCTACCGGCAAGAAGCAAAACAAACATCGTCCGCCGAAAAAAACACGCACTATTTCAGGGGGGGGGGGAAGTTTCACAAATTTTAAATGTAGTTTGGCTTCAGCCAATCATAGGACAAAACTATAGGAGTTAGCATTCCAGATATATTTACTTTATTGGTCCAACCTTTGGCTAGGCTTAAATTATCAATGAAAAACCAGAGCATTCACTTTCATATCTTAAGTTCAAGAATTATAGGCTCATCCCAAAAGAAAAGAGTAGAAAACAGCAAAAAATGCCACAGTTAACCCAAGAGACATAACAAATAAAACGTTCGTAGCTTCTTTCTTCTTGACAAGAGACCTTTGTTCTGGCAGTGGGGCGCTTTTTACTTTGCTTTCCTGATCGGAATCCATATTACAAACGCAAGCAAGTTCGGCGAAAAATTCGATATGAAAATCAAACGACTTTAACGATTCCTCAACCATACGGTCCGCGTCCTTTTTACCAAGATTCAACGAGTCAAAATGTGTACGATACACTTTCTTAAAATCGCTGAGGTTAGGAATGTTTGCAAATTCATAGAAGCAAACGCCATTAGAGCCAGTCAGTTGAAACGTTTTCCTAACAATCTTCTTCATTATTTGACCGCCTTCCATGTCACCTAAATATCGAGTAAATTGATGCGCCAGTAAAAGCATGGGCTCTTCGTCACCTAGCTGACGAAGGCGTGCTATGTACTTCCTTATCGTTGTCATTGGTTTCATTTTACCCTTCCAATCGCTTCCGTAGTAGTATTCCAAATCTTTGATGATTTCTGGTGTTCTTCGCAACTCCTTTGGAAAATACACGTGTTTTACTTTTGGATCTTCTCGATGACGATCGCCTTCCTCTTCCATTACTCTATATATGAAAATATAACGGGAAAATGAAATAAAATTTGTTTATTCATATATCACCTACTGCCTGACTTATATGTGGCATGTATAAGTGCATCCATCAGTTTAATCTGAATTGTGCTTATTTTGCTACTTCTTTGGACATCCAGATCTCATTTTACCATATTAGTGTTTTTTATATATTAAATCTACAGACTGAAGTAGATAAGTTCGCTGTACAAAAAAAACGGGGGAAAAATACACAAGAACGTACTTGTAAAGGAAGTACATATTATACATGAACAGTTTGTAGCTATCAACGTCAAGTTTGCCTTTCATGATGGCTTTGATGAAGGGCGCCTTAGTGGTTTGACGATGTTTCCTCATTGTCTTCACTTCCAGTTCATGATGAAGTACGATACCCATTGAAGACACCAGCTCATCTTCCAATTCTTGTCTCACCTCAAGACTCACTTCTTTAATCACACTGGTCGTTGTATTTTCTTCAATATGAGTGATCATAAGCTTGCCATCACCGCATATAGTCTTGAAAGGGCATCCAGTTTGGGTATTGAAAACAGGACATTCACCAATTTGCTTCTCCAGCTCAACGCACATATTGTGAAGTAACTTCAAGCTTTTAATCAACTACGCATAATAAAAATCGTTAGCACGAATGAATGTTAATTTTTTCTGCTTGAAAAGAGCATTAGTTGCGCCAGAAATACTAAATTGAAGCTTAGCTGGGTCAAACAGAATTTAATTGTCAACAATCTTTTTTGCACATAAACAATCTTTTTGCAGTGAAAAGTTCAAAATGTAAGACAGCGACATAAAACATGATTTTAAAATATTTGCCAAATATAATAAAAAGAACGTAGTAGATTTTACTTCAATAATAGATATTTATAATTTGAATGATGCTTTCGAAAATCACTTTGTTATCCAGAGCACATAACTCATACGTTATTTACTACCCGTTTAGCAAAAATACACCCACGCCGAACAACAAAAACGTTTAGCTCTGACAATAACCATAAAAGATTTTAAGAAAAGCGCACTGAACATACTCCGATGAAAGATATTTTTAAAGTAAAAACTGATCGCTTGGCTGAATTGCGTATGCACACAGGAATTTTTCCACCTAAAAGACATATAATAAACGTGAAAACCAATGAAAATGTCACAATGTCGTTCAAAGTAATATAAACTAGCTACATATGAATGTTTATATAGAAACCGTTCTACCATAAATGAAAGATATTAAATATTGTAAGGCAAAAGTGAAAGCCCAACTTAATTCTTATCTCTTGTTGTTAGAACTCGAATCTTGATTTTACAAGATGTTGTTTTGGAGTGTGTTTTCTCATTTAAGCTCATCAGACCAAATTTTGTAAAAAATTGCATATACAACATTGTATGGGTGGGTCTAACTAGTGCGTTTACAGAGTGGCTTGCCTCATCCCCTAGCGCTTGTTTATAAAAAGAAGACCTAGCCTTTAAAAAGAAGTCACTAAAAAATTGCTATATTAAAACGTTTACATAAGGTATTGAAGTGCAGCGTGGTGATGGCGTAAGGTGAGATGAAATAAGCCCTGTTTGAATGTAGTAATTAATTTTGCTTAATTGAAAGTTATTTCTTTTTAAACAAGCGCATGAGGAGTGGGGACGAGACAGCCCAAGTTTGTTCATTCCCTGTAAAAGCAACAAATTTCTTAAGAAATGAATGAAACTAATGATCTAAAATTCACACCAACCGACATAAGTTACGGGCTGGCTCACCACTGCTGCATTTAACAGATGTTAGGACATGTCAACCTTGTAACTTTTTGTTAGGTATGCAATAAGAATTCTTCAATGACTGACCAAATTGTTGTTCATTTAGACATTTCTGAATTGACCGACATAAAAGTCAACATTACAAAAGCTTGCCAAAATATCGTTGTATACGTACTAAGGCTCATTAATAAAACTTACCTCACTATGACTTCCATTCTCCGTTTCAAGATCTGGAATCTCTTCAAGCTTTCCATAAATGTCGTTTACAATTTTACAATCTTTAAACGGGCATGCTTCTTTGAATTCCGGACATTTCGAAGCACTTTGAAAGGAGCGTAAGGTGCGAGTAGTTGCAGTGGAAAAAGGACAGGAATGTTTAAATGCTGGGCAAGTTTCTTGCACATTGTTTACTTCAGTTATCATGATGTTCGCTTCAGATGACTGAAGAGGTATGAGATCATCACTGGAAGACCGTTCAGAAAACTTCAAGGAAATAACGGCCTCTGGGGTGGTAACCAAACCTGAAGGAACAATGGACTCCGAGGGAATCCCTGAATCTGAGGTAGTAACAGAGTCTGACGGCGTAACAGACTTGGAAAAGGTAACACACTCAGAAGGGGTAATAGACTCCGAGGAAATAACAGACTCTGCGGGTTCAACAAGATGTTTCCCATCCTGTGTTAGAACACTTTTGAATGGACAGCCTTGATCCTTATGAAACACAGGACAGTTTCCCATCTTTTCTTCAAGATTTTCAGAAATTCCATGCATACTCTTGAACATTTTCACCAACTTCTGATCAGATACTTTATCCTCATCACCAGCTGAATGTGGAACCTGGGACAACTTATTGTAAACATCAGAAAGAGTCTTTGCTTCCTTAAATGGACAGCCATTTGTAAATTCGGGACACTTTTCAAGCACATCTTTCAAGGCCTGCTCTTCAAGAGTTGTAAATGGGCACCCATCTTTAAAAGCAGGACATTTCTCTTGCAAACTGCCAGATTCTACACCATGTTGCTCTCCTTGGAGGCTTATATCTGATGCTGATATGACGTCAATGTCTTTCATATTTATGCTAAAATAAAATATATAATAATAAGAAAACAATAATGTGAATGCTGCCAAAAGGGATATGTACAATATCAGTTGTAACTAATGTACGATTAACTAGTAAGAACTTAAATCTGCTGAGTATAACAAGAGTTTGTACTTAGAGTAATCACAGTTGAAATTTAATTTAAGAACAGAGAAAATGTGGTAAGATAATTATTCAAATATCTTTTTTAAAATTTTCAGCACAGAATTTTTTAAAAATGGTAAGGGCTGAATTATCAACAGCTGGGTTGGGTCTTGACTTGTTTGCATGTTAAAAACATTGTGATTTAAAAATAAAACCACAGCAAAATATTGTGTAAGTTTTATCTACATATGATATTATTATCACATAAAGGAACGGAGGGGTGCAGATTTTCCTGCAAATTAATAATATAGCTGGAAGTTAAGTAAAAAAAATTGTGGTAGTGCTTAATGGCACACACTTCTAAAAATCTCCCAATCACGAAAGGTAACAGACTTTAACGTACATAAGTCTGACATGCTACAGCAAAATCCACCAAAATCGAATCTAAACTAGAGCACCCCCCTTAAAAAAACATTGTGATTACTTAAGATTGACCAAGAACATTGTTGTCTTTTTAAAATAGGGGTTTAATAATACCCAGACTTGCTTGAAAGTTGCAGATATTATCTGGTACAAACTTTGTAATATAAATTTTAAAGCAGATTAAAATGATGTATTATTTTTACCTATTACTTCGTTTGACAAAACATTGTTGTATTTTAGAATTTAAGGTTTAATATGCACTTCCTCACATTATATCATCAATGTATGTACTCAATTAAATGAATAAAATTCTTAAATATATATAACATTTCCTAAAGAAGCATTCTTGCACTGGACAGTTCAAAGACATGATTTGAAGAAATTTTGTTTACAAATGTAACACTTTTTGAACAGCTATAGTTGCAGACAGTGGTGTTACCCACCCAGCTGCTTATTCAGTCATAATTTATGTTAATTTTTCTGTGTTAATTCACCATTAAAAAACCTAGATTCAAGATGTTCTAAAATTTACATAATAGGACCATGCAAAACTTGTAGACTGGCTAGGCTATTGGTCATTGGGCAAAAAAATTTAATGCCAGATTTAATAACATTCAAGAATAAAAGTGGTATTGTAAATCACAATTAAAATTTCTTTCAAAACTACTCAAGCGAGATATTCCGAGCACAACCAAAACGTAATCAGCCTGCAAATAAAGTATATGACTTAGGTACGCTACGTATGCTCTGTTATGTGATAAACGAGTGTTTTTTTATGTTAAGTAAATGAAATGCCATCAAGAGTCATTAAAATATATTAAAACAAGGAAATTAATTGTTAGGAGTTGGATTGTTTACGTTTCCTGGCAGGCATATTTGGTCGAGTGCTTTTAGACAACAGTGGCAACGAAATAAAATAAACAATCTAACTCATCTATGGCTAATGGATGGCAGGTTGGTCAAGTCTAATTTTACCAACGATGTAATCATGTAAGCAATTTTAATTTGCAAATACAAGTCTGACTTCAATGGCAAATTCTGATTTCAAATTTGTTTGCCTCCACTTATAAAATGCGAAAAGAAATAATACAATAGTAAGGAACACATAGGTTTAATAGTAGTATACAGTAACAGCAAATCGTTCACTGTAAAGTTAGGTTTTCGTGATTCATATCAAAGAAACGATACAACATTACAACAACAATGAGAAGAAAAATAAAACTTTGACAGTGACTTTCACTTACCAATGAACTAATTATTGATGCCTTTCAAGACTTGTTTATAAAAAATTTAAGAAATAAAAGATGTGTAGTGTTCACTGTGTTTGCGGAAGCACAGAATATATACAGGCTTATGCAAACCGACCGAGAAGACCTTCGGGAGAACTCGAGAGCAGATCAGTGCAAGCCCGAGACTGAAGGTCGAGGGTTGCACATGTTTGAGAATTCTCACAAACGTCTCCGAGGCTGTGTGTTCTCACAACACGAAAAAATCTTTTATTTCTTTTATAAAATAACAATAATGCAAAAAAAGATAAACATTTTAATTTTTCCTCGAAAATGTATTCATGATCGAGTTATAAATTCTCTTTGACTGATTGAATGCTTAGATTGTTTTGATTGGTTGAGCTCAGATGTGTTTTGCACTGGCTAATGCAAACTCAGATTTAGACAAATCAGCGCACCGTTTCATTGTGTTTATTTTATAAAATAAAATGCCCAGTACCTAGGGCACACCACACACCGTCTTTATATCAGCCAAATGACGCAATAAAACTAAATCACCCAATGAAATCACCTGGAAACTTTACTCTAACACCTCCTAAGCAGCTTTGCTCTTAAAGTAACTGTATGACTAAATTACTTACCCAACAAAATGATCGACAAATTAGAAGTGTGAGTAAATTTATCAAAGTGCAACTACAACTGATTATTTTGCATCAAATGGACCCTGGCCGACGCTTACATGCGGAGGGAAGGCTGGAGGGAAACGAGAACGATAACAAAGGGGATAAATTGAAATTAAAATAGCCAACAAAAGAAATCAGCAGGGCAGAGCTGAAAATATGAATATTCACACACCCCGCCCAAAATTAGCGTGCTAGTTTTGCTCATGAACGCGGGCTTGTACTGTTATTTTGGCAATAAAACGTATGTTCGGGTTCATATGGTTATATTTATGGTTATGGTTATGGTTATGGTTATGGTTATGGTTATGGTTATGGTTATGGTTATGGTTATGGTTATGGTTATGGTTATGGTTATGGTTATGGAAATGAATTATTGTTTAGAAATTTCTAACAAATAATTTTTGTTGTCATGTTAATTTCAATTAAAAATGAGATGCAGTAATGTCTGTAATGTTTCCAGGAATTACTAAGCCCTTAATAATCGAGCTCGAGGTATTAACTGAGAAATAACGGATCGAAGTCTTTTTGTACAGGCCGAGCCCGTAGGACGAGGTTTGTACAAAAAGACAGATGTCCCATATTTCTCCATAAAGACCAAGAAGGGAGGTTATCAAAAGGCTTTTTTTATGGCACTATTTGACATTAAACAAAGCTTGCTTTCTTTCTCGTTTTTGCTGTTTTGTACGGGTTGACTTTCACTTTTCTAGGTCTTGTCAGTAAAAAAGAATTCGTTTCAAATTGTATGGTCTGAATACTGTGTTCCGAGTGTTTTTCCTTCGCCTCACATTTGAAATCATTTTTATTTTGTTTTTTTTTTTCATTTTGCTGTTTGCTTGACGAAGTTTGTTCACATTTGACTGTAAAATTACGCGTTTTGGACCGTGGTCGATAATGGGAAAACAATGGACCGGCAGAAATGCTTCTGAGCCAATCAAAGCGCGCCACTTTTCGGAGGTGACGCTTGCCATGTAATAATATATATTTTACATCCGAAGTCAGTATTTTCTTTTTGCAAAAAGCAAATTTTATTAAAATTTATAATAGATTCTACAATCATTACCCTGAAATATAAAAAAGGAAAATTAACAAAGCACATTAATTGAAGAAGCCTTTTTCTCTACTGAAAACATTAATTTTAGATTAGTGTACATGTATGGGGCGTCAGAGTGTCAAGTGAAAGCGACTCCGAAAATATACTGGCCCCTGACAAAATCATCGATTAAATATTGTTAGTAATTAGACCTTCGGACTTATAAAACTTTAATATTTAGCCTATTAATACTTTTAAAGCACAAATTTGCGATTTTAGTGTATTGTCAATATCATATAAATATTATTATGTAAAGTGATCTTTGGAGGCGTATTTCTAAAAAATTACTTCAATTACTCTTTAACCAAATATGTAAGTAGATATGTGTGCATATGGCTGATTGAAGGAGAGCCCCCCTGCAGTTGTGTCACTTCAAATTTTGTATAACCTTTACCTATCACAAGTAATACGCTCTCTCATATTACATCACGAATCGGCAAGCATTTTTATCGGCTTTAACGTTAGGTCTTATGGCAAACCTCATAGCGTTCTTTAAATCAAAATTAGTGCTTTCCAGTATCTAAATGATTATTACTAAAGACCAGAAAATATTCGATAATTACCATCACAGTCTTCTTATCATGGACAGATAAAAGGACGTCAATCTCTTCTATGAGGATATTTTTGTAGAAAATCGGGACGTACCAGCGCTTAGTGGACAACTTTGTCAGTCGAACTGTGATTAAAGAAGAATGGAAAGAGCATCGAAGTAGTCTGTGGTAATTTGATGTTTGTTTATCAGGATACGCATGCGCCATAAGCAGAAGCATGGTTTTCAAGTAGATCAATTGTTTTCGTGTGGATGGAAAAAACGCTGTGAAAACGCCACTTGTGGACGTAAATCTTTTAAAAAACGCATAGGAGTTGCGTTTTCAAATGAAAACGTATACGAGTGGACGGTGCCTCATATATTTACAAATGTAAAACATTTAGAACAGTTTATAATAAAGTACTTTAATGATATGCTAGTTTTTCTGTCTTCATTCACCATGAAAAAACTATCGCTTTAAGAGAAAATGAATAATAATAATTTTTTACGAAGTAAAACTTTCATAGCTGTACTAAAAACTTTCAGGGTGGCCATACCACTCTGTCATGGGGCAGAGAATTTTAAAGCGAAATCAAATACAATTCAACTGATTCAAGAACAAAAGCGGTTCACTTGAGTGACGCCACTGGATATAGAGAGTACATGTTACTAAATAAAAATGATTTCTTTATTACACGGAGCAGCAACAAAATTGGCAGCTTTCTACATTATCTTTATGGGTTTGCAGATGATTTTACAAAGGAAAACATCCGAATAAGCCCACACATGCAATCTAACCTCGCTCTCTTCTGCATTGAATGTTGATATTATTTCCAAGAATTACGCGAAAATATAAGTTTCTCTGCTTATAAATATACGGTAAAATGCTTCATATTGGCCACGACGTCATCAGTGGCCACAACGAAACACATAAAATTTGCTTAATAAAACATGCAAAAAATTTAATTTTCCCAGAGATGCAAAAAGAAACTGCTGACTGGCATGTACGTGAAGCCAAATTTATCATTTGAATATCCATATTACACACACGAAGTTGGGAAATATAAGTATAGACAATGTAGACGTACATATGCCTCAAACATCATTTATTTCATGATAACTACATAAAATTATATTCAAATCACGCAAATACTTAAACTGGCATGAACAAACTAAATATTACAAAAGACAAAGGGACTCCTCAAAAAATGATTTCTCGGTTGCCTAAAAATAGAAAGCGAGTTTAATAGCGTTTGTATTGTAATAATAATTCTTTAGAATTCCATTTTATGACAAAATAGTAGCACTGTTTATTATTTAAATTGTCCGATACAAAAGCCATTGCATTAATTGTGATGTCATTTTTACCAAATCGGATGATGATTAAGCAAAATATTTTCAAAAGTCAAAGAAAAAAAATTTCATCACTTTTAAAGTCAGTTGTCCAGAGCTAAGATTTAAAGCTCATTATTAGTTGGCAATAAAAACAAAGCTATCTTTTAGCTACACAGACCTTTTTATCGTCTTCCTAAAGGCGAAAAGAAAATTTTATTTCATAGCTATATTTAAAACTTTACCTGAGGAAATCAACGCACAAAATAGCGGAATCTCAAGAGAACGAACCTGTGTAAACATAATATATATTTAAGTTTATGAGTACTTCGTGTAATTGGTAATTATTAGCAAATGTTTAACATATTGTAAACGACACTAAATGGTTCCAAAACGAAAATTTTAAACGACACCGAGAAATATCTACGTTTATTAAGGGTTTCAGTCATGTATTTATACATATCTTTAATTCAATGAAACAATTAAAAGAGGAGCACTTACTGACATATAATAATGTTACACTAATGCAGCTATGCCTATTGCTAAATGCTTCTGCCCAAATCTTCGTGTAAATAACATATTGTAAGTATTCTACTTTGCGTAAATATTAGTAAAGGGAAAGTATAAAATATGCACATCAGATTAGGAGAGTCTAAAGCTTACTAAGAAACGAATACCTTTGGCAAAACCATGCACTCCATCGATGACCGATCGAAAGTATTGCTTGTTTTTTATTACATTCAAATAAAATATTGTACTATCTTAAGAGATTCAGGAAAGGAGATAATTAAGGTTATGAGTTGCCACATTACCCCTTCTTGCTACAACTTACATTATCTTAAAGGCAATTAGGTTTTGTCGTGATAATAAGCTTTGCTCCAATGTGAGCTACTGTACTTTCTCTAGTAATTACGTTCATAAATGTTAATAAAGAATACTTTATCCTAGATATTAGTAGATGACATCTACCAAAAGTACAAAAAATTCAGCAATTGGCGTTCGTGTGGCACGTAATTGAAGATTGTAAATCTTTTTGCTTTCTCTTGTTAGCTCAGTGCGCATTTGTTCTGAACATCAGAAATATTTAAAATTTACTTGGAATGGCAATTTATATAAATTTACTTGCTACACTATTGGGTTAGCATTAGCCCTAAAAATGTTAACTAAATTACTAAATCCTGTGTATTCATCAATAAGAATAATAGGCTATATTTCATCAGCCTATATTGATTACTCCATCTTGATTGATGAAAACTTTTATGAATGTGAATCAAATGTTGTGGACACAGTCCAAGCTTTAGATAACTTAAATTTTGTCACTCACCCTAAAAATCGGTGCTAATACCAACACAAACTATCGTATTTCTTGGCTTTATTCTAAACTCAAAAACTATGAATGTTTCATTAATACCAGAAAAAGCAATAAAGCTCAAATTGGCCGTTACCAACCTACTTTCTTGTAGGATACCTGTAATAAGGGGGAGTTGCGCAGGTCATTGGGTTTATTACTTCGACATTTCCACGGTAATGTATTGGCCCTTGTACTTTCCGATTACAGAGAGTGAGAAAGCTCATGCTCTAAAACAAAATAAAGGGAATTATGACACACACCTGCAGTTGTCCTCTAATGCAAAGAAGTAGCTTCAGTGGTGGATAGAACATGTAGTAACATCAAACAATCTAATTAGACCAGAACGACAAGTTATTATGTACACAGATGCATCTAAAGTGGGCTGGGAGTGTGCCATAAATAACTATAAAACTGGAGGGCTCTGGACTCTAGAGGAGAGTCAATGTCACATTAACTATTTAGAAATCCTAGCAGTGTATTTTGGACTCAAGTCACACGAAAAATCTGTTTCAAAAATGCACGTAAAAGTAATGGTTGATAACACCACAGTTCAGAACACTATAAACAAAATGGGAACTAGTCATTCACATTATTCAATAATCTTATCAAAACAATTTGGGACTGGTGCATTGTTAATAAGGTCTATATCAAAGTTGCCCGTATACCTGGCAAGGATAAAGTCGATGTATACAGTGAATCTAGGAAAGCTCGGCGCACCACTGAGTGGTGCCTGAATAAAAACATTTTTCTTAGTGCTTGTAAGAAACTAAGTTTAAAGCCAAACATCGACCTTATTGCCTCCATAGTTAACGACCTTATTGCCTCCATAGTTAACTATTAAGCCCTATATTTCGTACACTCCAGACCCAGAATCAATTGTAATCAATACTTTCCATCATTCATGGCTGTGTTATCAATTTTATGCTTTTCCACCTTTTTGTTTGATTAGTTAGGATTACAAAAAATTCAAAAGGAAAAGTTGGAGGGACTTCTTGTCATACCAAAGTGGCCAACCCAACCTTGGTGGCCAGTGGCAATGAGAATACTAATGCAACCACCCATCTTGCTCCCACAAACACCATCAACAATTTTTCTTCCCAGCAATCCATCAGAGAAACGCCTTCTCCACGAGAAACTAGTGTTAATAATGTGTCATTTATTATGGAACAGTTCAAAGACCGAGGGTTTTCGAAAAAAGCTGTGGAAATCTTGGAATTCGCATGGAGATCAGGTACAGGAAAGCAGTATGAATTATATTGGGAAAGATGGAGACAATCTTGTCATCAAGGAAATATCAATCTCTTTTTTCCCAATGTAGAAGAAGGGAAAAACTTCCTTGCAGAATTTTTCAAAAAAGGGATAGGTTACAGTGCACTAAATACTGCAAGGAGTGCGCTATCATTGATAGTAATTTTGTCAGATTGTACTAGTTTTGGAACACACCCATTGCTTTGCAGATTCATTAAAGGAGTGTTCGAAAATTGCCCATCGCTACCGTGCTACACTAGAATTTGGAATGTACGATTATTGCTAGACTATTTAAAATCATTTCAGTCAAATGAAATCTTGACACTGAAAAAGCTAACACTTTAATTGACCATGTTGTTAGCGCTTATTTCTGCTCAGAGGTGCCAAACTCTTAAGGCATTATCACTAGACAATATATCTCAGGAGGATAATAAGTATATATTCTTTTTCGACAAACTTTTAAAAACGTCTCGGCTGGGAAAACATTTAAAGCCATTAGTAGTTATAAAATATGAACCAGATGAAGAACTTTTCTAGTTCAAACTCCTCACTGAGTACATTGAAAGAACAAAAACTTTTAGCGGAAATTCCAAGCAGTAATTAATTAGTTACACAAACCTTTTAATATTGCTAGCACGGACACTATAGCGAGATGGATGAAAACATTTTGAAGCTTGCCGGAATTAATGAATTTTCTAGGCACAGCACATAAGCAGCATCATCTTTAGCTGGGAGTCAAGCATCTGTTTCAATTGAGGCAATTATCGAAGCGGCTTAGTGGAGTAATGCTTCAACTTTTCATAAATACTATAATAAGCCATTACAAACGAAAGCACAACACTTTGAAATTCTCACATGATTCCTTAGTGACGTAGTCCAATGACGAAATAGAATTTAAAAATTAAACGAGACTTACCTGTAAGTTGAAGTTTGATTGTAATTTTATGAGTTATTGGACAAGGAAACGAAGGAGTCACCCATCCATTATTACATTGGAGAGTCACCTAACAGTATTTTGGTGAAAAAATTAGATTAAACCCGCCCTAATTGTATGAATGCTGTTAAAATCACTCGTAGCGTTGAAAACTGATTCCTCGATCTGCGTGCGCAAATCTCAAATGATTCCTTAGTTTCTTTGTCCAATAACGCATAGAATTACAATCAAACTTCAACTTACAGGTAAGTCTCGTTTAATTTTTAAATTATAAGTGTTCATGCAAAGTGCAATTTTACTTACGATTGTTAAGTAGATGAAGTTAGGCATCAATGTATCAATATAACAATGTTGTATATCGATTACTGTTTGACTATCAATTGCTTCATTTAGTTAAATTATTTCACATATATCCATTAAATTTGTTTTCCTCCCTTCTCAACGTATCTCTTCTTTCTTCCCCTTTAAGGACAAAATTCCCAAGCCTCTGAGATCTGGTGTAGTCTATTTATTCAAGTGTCGAAGCTGCAACGCTTCGTATGTGGGTCAAACCACACGTCATCTACACACCAGATTTTCGGAGCACTTGGGAATATCCCCCCTTACAGGCAACCAAGTTTCCCACCCTGCATCATCAAGCATTCTTGCTCACATTAACGCAACTGGACACACCCCCAACTTAGACGACTTTAAAATAATCTCCTCTTCCAACGATACTTATGAACTCTCCATCCATGAAAGCCTTCAACAAACACAAGCCTTCACTTAATGTGCAAGGAAACTCCATTCCACTTAACCTCTTTTAATTTCTCTTCATTTCACTTCGAAACTTCCTTATCATGTATCCATTCGACACCGCTTCCTTTAGTAGTAATTTAACACCTTTTTGTAAATATAATACCTTGTCTTAACGTCCTATTTATTATTTGTCTGAAGATGTCTTGAGTAAAGACGAAACGTCACAATAAATTTAAATTTCACAATTTGTTTTTTTTTTGGTCTATTTCTATGGCTCTAATCAGAACTTTATGTTGGGCATTGATTTTTATCACACGTATTCGATTTCCGCTCGGCAAGTCTCTCGCTATAATTAATTATTAATCTAGACAAATCTATTACAGAAGTCCTCTGAAATTGGTCTTAGAAATTTATCTCTTTGGTTTCAATTTTACGTGCTTGGACCGTTATTAGATAAACTACAATATCAAAATAAGAATTAGTCCCTCGAAAAGGCGAGTAACACACGTTTTTGACCCTCTTACGTCAAAGCTGAATCACTGTAGGCCGCAGTACTTGTTGAAGTCAGTACAAAAATTTGCTGCAACAACCAGGTTTTGAAAAGGAATTTAGTTTATTAGAATGCTGATTAGAAATAGCACGCCACTAAGAAAATTGATGAAACATTTTATGACTTTTTTACTACATATAACTTGAAACGATTTGTCAAATACTGTAAACTTCAAACTTAAATCTGGTATGAAAGATAGCAAAATTTGGGAACAGTTTTTTTATTCATAATAGTAATTTAAGATCACGGAGTATTTTCGCTGCCATAGCACAAATAGGATATGAAAATCAACTTCCACAACTTACTGTATTTATTGTAATTTTTGTGTTGCCCAACCTTGGTGTAAATGAATGATGTTCCTGAAAATCTGTTTTCCCAGGCGCATCCTACAGCGTTTCCAATGCTTAACCATCCTTCATCTTTGGAACATGCACCTTAGAAGTGATTGATGTGAAAATCACGACATCTTGTCCAGCAAGGTCCTACGATTGTAAAGTAGTTAAATGTAGACGATGTTATATCAAGCCATGGTGATTGCACGAGGTTGTGCTTTGTAAACCAGTTCATGTAGCTGCAATGTTCACTTTTGAATTTTAAGACCAGTTGTTCTAAGCCATTTTTGTACAGCACAAAACGCACCTAATGAGAGAAGAAAGAAAATACCTAGATCAGTTTGTTTTAGCTTAATTTTCTAGTTCCAGCTTAGAATTGTATGAGGTAGCTACTTGTTAGACGGCATTAACACTATGAATCGACGTGTTTTACAATCTACAATTTCTGTGCAGCTCTTTACACTTACTGAACAAATATATCAAAAAGTAAGTGTCAGTTTTCACAATTCAGTGATTTGTGAAATTTGTGACAATACTTTCAATACGCTTCATCTAAATCACTCCCGGACTTGTACAACAACAGACCAGAAGATTGATCTTGTATAAACTTCAAAAAATGTAATTATGTAAAAGAGCATCAAATTTAAACTATCACACATATAGCTACGTGACGGCCAGTTTCTTACTTAAGTTAAGAAAATGACAAGTTTGTCGACCAATCTAAGATGAAGTTGTCTCGATCAAATTGCTGATGCATATTTTTGTCTTTTTTCGGAAATAATAAATAAAATATCTTAACTCGCTCTTTCCATACTATACATGCCGGAGATAACAAGAAACGTGTCATAGTTAAAATCAATACCATACCTCCGGATTTCATGTCACAAAACACTGGAAATGCATTTTTCCTATTTGCTAAAATATAAAAAGGTCGTTTAAGTCTGTATTTGAACTGATGTTGTGTAAACAGATTAAAATATTATGAACAGATTATATGCTAATTAGCTTAGTGGAAACAAAACGTCTCGAAAAACATGAACCACTCTGTGGTGCGAATTCCAACAAAATTCCATGGATCTATTAAATAGCAATTTTAAAAGTTTTTTTTTAACTCTTATAATTTGCTTTTTAATGAGCAATGATAGTAGATTAAAATCTTGAACAGCAATAACATTTTCGAAAATATTTTGAAAAATAAGAACTTTGTTGTATCTAAATAAGTAAGTTGTATCTAAATAAGTACTAGAATATTCTAAAAATCCCATAAGAAATTCTCCCAAAAACCATAAGTAAAATTTAATTCAACGTGGTTTTGATCGTGTGTTTTTTATACAACTCAATGCAATAAATAT